CCCGTAATAAACGAGCCGTAAGTTACGCTTTTAGTGATCGCTAAAATTTGCGCTCGAAGGTCAGTCGGATTTGGCGCGTGTCAAGCGACCGCCTAACACGCAGCCGGCCCCGGTTCGAATCCAACGGAGGCACACAAGTCGCTCAATTATAAAAGAGGGCTCAACTCGCAGCAGGTAAGTCTTATATAGAAGATTTCGCCACTGACGTCAACGTTTTTTGGTGAAATAAAGATGACGCCTTTTGATTTGATTGAGATTGCCAACAATTGGCAATTCGTATACAAAAGCATTTCAAAATAAGAAATGGGTTGATTTAAATATTATTTGTTTAATGTTCGTTTAGAGCATTTATTAAAATATTTGTTAGCTATATTTTTTTACTTCCGTTTTGAGAGTCAAATAAATTATCAAAGAACAGGGGAACGTCAGCTGTTGCTTAGCATTCTTTATTTGGCAATGTATTTTTTACCTTCAGAAATATAGTCCAAATCTTTAGTTAATAAATTATTTCTGATAAATTTAAAAAAATGTGGAGGATCGTACTGTGGAATTATTCTTCATTATTGAAGAGTATTACATTTTCTTTTGGCTTTTGTCCAGCTCGTAAATATGCCCCACGGGTTTCCTGCAATAATAATTTTATTGCTTGTCTGTTGTTCGCCCCTTGACCGCAAATCATGGCAACTACAATGAAACCTGCGTCTTGTAACGCCGTTACATTTTCTTTAATTTGATTTTTTATCTCCTGTCCATTTGTAGATGCTGCTGAAAATGTATATGATAAGGGCCGTTTATAATTTTTGACTAGACCCCTTATCATATATGTAGACCCCTTATCATATATATATTTCACCCGCGACACAGGGTTTCCCTAGTGCGGGGCTATGTTGAGTGTGTGCGTTATTATTATTATTATTATTATTATACCTGTGCATGATCGGCAAATGTCGGCTTTGTAGTTTTACCGTCTGTAATAAAGCCAAATACTTTGTCCTTCCTTTCATTGAAACTTAGGTTTGCCTTCAAAAACATCTCATCAAATATCAAAATGCGCCTCTCTTTAGGTTTAATTTTTTCGGCTACTCTTTTTAATTGCACAATTTTTTTTTTCATTGATGCCTGTTTTTACATCTGCTTGGTTTATTAATTTTCTCAGGGTTTGGGGCGCTGGTAAGATGATTTTTTTTCTTAAAAATCTGTATCCCTTAGGTGTCTGTTTAAATATAGACAGTGCTAGGATTTTCTCTTGTAAATTAAATCCCTTTACTCTTTACAGGTATGACCATGTCAACCGTGACCATGGGATCGGTAAAGGGCCCGAAACGTCGGGTTTGTTTGAAAAACAAATACACGCGATTTAAATCCGGAAAATTGTTTCATTTCCTATGTGTAACAATCGCAAAAACCTAAGAACTCGATATAAAGTCGATGCGCTTAAACGTTTTTCTAAACGACTTTTTAAACGTCAAACTAAAAAGCGTTTAGTTTAAGTGAAAAGCGCTTTTACAAGCACGCTTTTTAAACGTACGTTTTAACATTAATAATAAGCAGTTTTTCCATATCAACGGTCAAAAACTACAAAAGTTAAACAACTTATGTTTTTGAACGCTTTTAAACGCCAATGAAAAAAATGTTAATATAAAAATGTTATGACATAAATAAAAACATAACTCGTTTTTTCACCAAAAAACTTACTTATCTGAAAACCTTTAATAGTGTACTTTACACTACAACTTTAGTAGTTTAGTAGTAACCTGAGTCGCTCGCGCTCGTGCCGCACAGCGTGCGCAGGTGCTCGCTCAAATTTCGGATTTTATTTTTGTATTGTATGCTTAAATAGGAGTTTATTGTATTAGTTACTTTATTTATTGTGTTATTTATAGTTAGTTACTGCGAGAAGATGCTTTGTATGTGCATATAATGTGCTTGATTGTTTTGCGAAAAGACGTTACTGTGTGTGTTTATATTATTTACGAAGTTGTGGAAAAACAAGCACCTATACAAAAATGTTGAAATACAAGCAAGTCTTGCGACAAAGACTTTGTAACGCAGCAAGGATGATCGAAATTCGGTAAGCCACATGATTGTTATTATCTTGCTAGTTAAATACTTAAAATAACGCAATTTACTTATCAACCTACGCATATTTTTGTAGACGGGGTCGAAAAGGACTACATAAAATAGTTCTTCAGAAAAAAAGAAAGTACCTAATACAAGAATTACAACTTCCCAATATTCTCATTTTAATCAGTTTTGTTAGCATTGTTTGATGGTATTTATCTTTTTTTTTTAAGTATTGTTGAATTTGACTCCGACTAACAACACGACATGAATGAATGTTGTTTATTGTTGTAGCAAATACACAATTATTTTTTTGTGAAAAGAAGACGCTACCAGGTAGAACAATTTATGACGAATTCTTCATGATTCATTTATTTGTGGTAGCACAAGTGCACCTGTTCCATTTTTTGTTTATCTATTGTAGTTGTAGTCAAAAGAAGGGAGAGACATTATTCTCTTTAATTTCATTTTCTTTCATTCAAAGAAAGAAAGAAAGAAGTTTATTCACTGAATTGAAACACTACACACACTTATATCTAAAATTACAACTAAAAAGAAAACAACAAGTGACTTATTAATTTAATTTAGTAAGTGTGCGTAGTGGCTCAAGCGAGGAAAAGGATTCGACTCAGCAATATGTCTATCTCGGTCGAAACAGACGTTCAAATGTTATTTATCCATTAAAATTTGAATATTCGCACCTTCAAAAAGTAGTAATTAGAAAAAACTGAGAACATAGGTTATTCTAAGTACGATTGTGTTTTTGGAGTAAATAATGAGAAACATTTTTATTATCAGTCACTGTATTTCCACATACATGTTATGTACATTTTCGTTTGGAAATACAGTGACTGATGTAACTCTAAAACTGAACTTCGACACACGCTACTCCGACAATATGTTACATCGACATGACTTTACTCAGATAC